GGTGGTAAGAGAACCACCAGGATTGAGGCGTTGCCTAGCGGGCCGCTCCATCTATTGGTGGGGAGCAGCACCTGCTGGAAACCGGGTCCAGCATCCCTTAAGTACATCTTGCAAAACAACACATCAATGAAAGTGGTGCCAATGTGCTGGAAACCGGGTCCAGCGTCCCATATTCATTCTGCTCTTCCCTACCTATCCTGCCACACAGTCGGGTATTGGGGGGGGGGACCACCGGGGGACACCAGTGGAGTCTCCCTTCCTCCCCTAGCCTCTGCCAACCACCTACTATCCTCTACTATCCGCTTGGCGCCTATTGTGGCTTGCGCATCTGTAATAACAAATGTTTGGAAACAACTGAAACAGACTGGAACATTTTTTTTTTTTTCCTTTTATTTTTATTTTTGCTGGAGAATTGTGTGGGAGGCCTCATCTGCTGGGAACCGGGCCCAGCGTCCCATGACTACTCTACCTCTGTACAGAACAGTACCCTTGTCTGGCATCACCAGGGGTGTAAAAATAATATTAAAAAAAAAAAAAAAAAAAAAAAGTGATTCCTGCCAGCATTGATTACCCTGGAGTCCAGGGGATTGACTGGGCAGGATATTGAGGAGAGGGGGGTAACCTCTTCAACCTGAAACCGGCGCCAGATACCGACTGTTACATGCTAGTTCCACCCTCTCCCTGCCATTGATTACTCTGAAATCCAGAGAATTGACTGAGCAGGATATAGTAGGGGGGAATGCTAGGTGTATTTGCATATCTGGCGCCCGGACAGGGTGAGGAGGCATAGGATCCTCACCTACTTGTTAAGTTAGAGTTCCAATCTCAAGTATCGGTACAAATCGGAAGGGACGCTGGCCCCGGTTCCCAGCATGAGCTGTGCTATGTCTTTAAGTATGGGTATAAATCGGAAGGGACGCTGGGCCCAGTTCCCAGAACCCCGGGCAGAAATAATAAGAGACTATCAGTTGGTCTTTCACGACTGGACCAAGATAGACCCCGGCTCCCCGTTACGTCCCGCCCAGGACTTTGCAGACCCGTTTCCACCCCATCCGTTGTCCTTAGCAGAAATCTTGCCGCCTGCATGAGCTCGGACCTGCATTCTCAGTGAAGTTCGTGTATAGTATCCGTCCAGAAAGTCTCAGAATGTTTCAGCTGATTTCTGCGGACTTCAGCTGTCCTCAGCTGTCCTCAGCTGAATTCAGCTGAGCTCAGCTGACTACAGCAAGATTTCAGCGCAGCCCAGAGCAGCCCGGTTCAGCCTGTACTACAGCAGATTTCAGCGGAGCTCAGAGCAGCCTAGTTCAGCCTGGTTTTTCAGCCTGCTTTCTGTTGCTCTCTGTTTTCCCAGTCCTTCCAGTTTTTTCAGTTGCTCCAGTTTGTTCCAGTTGTTTCCAAACACTTGCTATTACAGATGTGCAAGACACAATAGGCGCCAAGAGGATAGTAGGTGGCGCCGAGAGGGTGACTCCACCGGTGGCCCCCGGTGGTTTTCCCCCCAATACCTGACTGTGGGGCAGGTTAGGCAGGGAAGAGTAGATTGAACATGGGACGCTGGACCCGGTTTCCAGCACATTGGCGTGACTTTCATTGACGTGTTGTTTTGCAAAGATGTACTTGAGGGACGCTGGACCCGGTTTCCAGCAGGTGCTGCTCCCCACCAATAGATGGAGCGGCCCGCTAGGCAAAGCCTCAATCCCGGTGGTTCTCTTACCACCACCAGGATTATAGAGGTCTTGCACAACGGCCTTTTCTTGAAAAAAAAAAAAAAAAAAAAAAAAAAAAAAAAAAAGTTCCCAGCATGAGCTGCGCTATGTCTTTTCATTATGATGTAAAGGGAGACTGGACCCGGTTTCCAGCAGGTGCACCTCCTCACCAATGGAACGGAGCCGTCTACCCATTTGAGCAGTAGAGGGAGTGTCTGCTCTTACCACCACTTCCTCTACTCCTCATCACAGACGTTAAAAAAAAAAAAAAAAAAAGTATACTTCATCCCCCTTTTCAAAGACTGTGAGTTATTGGAATAACACTTGGCAATGCTGGGAACGGAACCCAGCGTCCCATATTTACAATTACTGATGTTTGGATGCTGTAGATAGGAGATGTTGATGATGATGATGCTGCTGGAGATGAAGAAGCTGGTGATGACCGCTGATCTCCGAGCCCCTTACTCCCGCCCAAACCATCGCATATCTACGCTTGTTGATGGGTCCTACTAGGAGCAATACCAAATAAGTTCCAGTTAGACCAAGGGTGGGGGTATGTCGCGCAGACAGTGAGAGCAATCGGGTTCTTGTCGATCTGGAAAGAAAGGAACAGAACATTGTTTCAGTCGAAGATCATGCCGGACCAGTAGATCAAGGCCACCTTAAGCTGCTCCTGAGAAGGACGATTCTGGCGGACTGGAGAAGGAAGGTTCCTGTGGGCTGCCGTAGGCCCGGGGGTAAGGGCATCTGGAGGTTTGGAGACACCTGGGCAAAGGGGAACAAGTTAGTGAAGATAGAGGGGGACTCAGGAGTTACGTTCTCAGAGTGGTTAGCTAGCTATACGGATCAGGCACACTCGGTCGGAATCTGCAGGAGGAGGCAGCCGGGCATTGGGGTAAGAGAGTGGCAGTAATTTATTTTTTATTTTTTTTGGAAAGCTTGTCCTTTTATTGCACAGGAAAACCAGAAACAGGAGGCCGGGGACCTCACAATTCAACCCAGAGTTATCCTGGCAGCATCAGCCAGTTTCGCTTAAAAGCTAAGCTCAAAGCCTACCAGCCTCTTCTCCTCTAATCCACCAAAGACTGCTGGAAACCGGGTCCAGCGTCCCATTATTACCCAAAAACTTTCCAAAATCAAACATGAAGCTCGATTAAAGGGGCTCAAAAGAGATAATTATTACCACCCAACCGTTAAAAAGAATATACCTTCTCCCCAAATTCTAAAGACAGTAAATCACTGCCCCACACCGTTCCCAACCAGTCCAGCCAGAAAAAACACATTAGTTCTGCTAAAACGCAGACGAATCAAATGCCTTTTTTTGTGGGGGACTACTATCGTCCCCCCACACTGGATTCCAACAACCAGACGGGGAACTCCATTCTGCCTTCAGCAGAGATTAATGCACAGTTAGACTTGGCCCAAGTCTTCACAAACCAATAGCGTTTTTTTCTCCTCCAGTCAGCAAGAACTGTTAGTCTCAAGGCCAGCTTAACTCTATTAATTATCTGATGGAGGCTCATTTCCTCCTGATTAAGAACTTGAGAATTTCTCCCTGCCCAGAGAGCTTCCAACAATATCTCTCTGCAGCAGAGGGCCACATAATTTACCCCCGCTGCAAAATTGCCCTTGGTCTGAAGCTTACCAAATAAAATAAATTCGTCGTTCCACAGAAATTCCCCACTCAACTTCTCCCAAAACTCCTTCCACCACTCCCAAACTCTCACAGAGGCTGGGCAAGAGAGCCACAAGTGCATTGATGTTTCCCAGCCCCATTTACAGCGTTCACACATAGCAGGAATGTCCATTCCCTTATTATTCAGCCAAGTAGCGGTCGGGACAATCTGAAGTGACTGTAGCCACTGGAGCACAGCCTGTCTCTGAGACGGCAGCGTTTTTAAGGCTTTCCAGAGAACTAGCAGATCTGTTTCCACTACTGAACCTGATGCCACTGAGGAGATTTGGACCTGGGACAATCTCCTTACTGCTGTTTCCAGCGGTTTTCTCTTAATCCCATCTCGCTGCCACATAACGCCCACCTTAGGTCTATACTGACAAACTGGTACCCCTCGCTTGAGGGAACTGGTCTTCCAACCAAATAATACTGGTTCTATCAAAACCTTCTCTTGGGCATTTTTAACCAGCTGACAGACCGTACCTTTTGTTGTGAACTGCTCGTGGACTCTCACTTCCTGCAGACCCTTTGTGGTACCAATTATCCCCTCCTCTTTCCATACCAAGGATCTATTACAATTCCCTGGCTTCACCCCCCAGATCTGGACTTTCATTCCTGATCCCAGGTCAGGACCCACTATTTTCCATACCCTCTCATCATTACATGGATCCTCCACCCAACTACCAGCATTCAACTCCCTGTCCTTCTTAAGGGCATTTATCCAGTGTGTCGGCACAGCCTGTTTAACTTTATTATAGAAATGTTCTACCCTTCTGAGTCTAGGAAGCTTATTTTTCACTGTGACAAGTGGTAACCAATCTTAATCCCACAGGTCTTTCAACTGCAGAATCCCATGCTCCACCCAAGCTCTGCCAAACGAGCCAGCACTGCCATCCGCCGCCAGTTCCTCTGAAGTGGAGTCCCGAATGAACCCATTTTCAAACAAGATCTGATTTAAGATTTCCTCCTTCGACCTCGGTTCTTCCACCAACCTCGGGAGGATCTTCGACCAGGCCGAAATTATATTTCTCCACAGCTGAGAATTCGGCCTCCTGCGAGTATAAGAAGGGATCATAAAGCAGAGCCAAACATGGTGGTTCTGCTGCAATGACCATTCCTCCATCAGGATATACTCAGCAAACTGAATCCAAGCCTTCTCCTCCGTAGCAAACATGGCCGCCACCGGCCATTTAGCCAACAGAGCTACATTTTGTTGCATTGGATCAAGGACACCCAAACCTCCGTTCTCTCTTGTATTACAGATCAACTCCCAGGCTGCCTTTACTATGAATCCTTGCTGATCCGAAGCCATAGGTTTCCACAAATATCTCGCAGCAGCTCTTTTAATATTCCTGTAAGCTTCCTCCCCCAGTAAATGAACTGTGAGCGGGAACCATAGAACTGAGAAAGCAGCTGAGCTTAAGACTAAATCCCTCCCAAAGAGGGACAGTTGATGGTTTCTTGCCCAGCCATTAGTTCTGGCTACCACTTTTTCCTGTAGAAGGGAATCTTGTGTAGCCTCACAGTTACTGAGAGATATCTGGACCCCGAGTAACCTTTCTGACGCATTATCAGGGATTTGCCGAAGGCCCCACTCCACTTCTAAGTTAAAACATTTCGGTAGAAGAAACACAGATTTCTCCCAATTGATGGAGGCCTCTGACAGCTCGCAATAGGTGTCCAAGACTTTTTTCAACTCATCCAAGGCCTCTGCGTCATTAATGCAAGCAACAGTTAAGTCATCCGCTATAGCCCCTCCCTTCCAATGAATCCTTGGAGGGAGTTGCAAACCTACGATCCTAGGATTATATCTAATATTAAACAACACCACTTCCAACTGAGTAACAAACAACAAGGGGGCTAACGGACAGCCCTGCCTAAGTGACCTAGATAAAGGGAATTCGGAGGACAGTTGACCATTCACCACCACCACAGAAGAAACATCTGTATACATTGCCTTAGCCCATCTGCAAAATCCCTTGCCAAACCCCATTTTCTCTAGAGTTGTGAACACAAAGGCCCACCCAACTTTATCATACGCTTTCTCCATATCCAACAGCAGTACAGCCACATTCTTCTGTTCTCTACCAATAATTTCAAGGGCTTGGATAGAAGCCATGATGTTCTCAAAAATGGATCTTTTTTTAACAAAGGCACCCTGCTCCTTTCCTACCAAGCCTGGGAGATAGTCCGCTAACCTGATTGCCAGAGCTTTAGCCAAGATCTTATAGGCCACATTCAAAACTGAAATAGGCCTATAGTTCTTGACCTCTCCTCTTGTCTCCTTTTTTGTATAGGAGCGAGATAGCTCCAGTTAACCATGTTTTCGGTAGATGGCCTGATACTAGACTGTTATTGAAGACTTGACATAGGAAAGGACCGAACGCCTCCCAGGAACTCAGGAACAACTCCACCGGGAGCCCATCTAGCCCCGGACATTTCCCTTTAGCCATGTTCTTTGCCGCTCTATGTAGTTCCCTCGTTGTAAATGGGGCATCCAACCTTTCTTTACCAACCACCGGAAGGCCCACTGCCATGCCCTCCCAAAAGGACGAAGACAATGAAAGATCTGTACTCGCATTTTCCCAGGGTCTTCTGGTAGTGACCATGTCCTGATACTATGTTTTTGCATACTCACACAAGTCTTCAATTTTCGTTGCTGTTGGAGCACTTAGACTGAATGGGTGGACCAGCTCTCTTACCACCGGTTTTGCTTGTTTCACAATGAGGCTGCGAAAAGTGATTTTGGTCATCCGGTCATACCCAACTATGCCCCTGATCCTTAACCATTCTAGCCACTCCTCTTGTCTCTTTGATTCGAGTCTCTCCAGAGCGGCTAGATGTGTTTTTCTCTGTTCCGCCCAATAATATTCAGTGAAGGGATCCCCCTTCATTTTCAATTCCGACTCCTTCACCGCCCGCTGTAATTCCTGTTCTTCCCACTCCCTGTTTGCAGCCTTCATTCTCGAAAAGGCTTCAAGAGCAGCGGTGATGATCCCTATGCCTACTCCAGCCCACTCCCCTTCTTGCCTAAACAAGTCTTTCGCGCCCATCCAGGCTTTCATCTGAACCCCCACCCAATCAAGAATACCCTTGTCCTTTAAATGGTTCACGTTCAAACGAAAAGGGGGCCGAACTTTTTCAAACTGATCCTTCGCAAGAACCTCCATTACCAATGGCGCATGATCCGAAAGGTACGAAACTAGCGTATCACACCACATGCACCTATCCCATAAGGCGCCTCTAGCCAAAATAAAGTCCAACCTTCTCTTGGGCTGAGGTGCATTGGGGGTAGGCCGTGGGCCAAACCAGGTAAATCCCGAAGAGTCTGGGTTTAAAATTCTAAAAACATCATTCAGGGATTGGGACTCTTTCAAGGCCAGCAGCATCGCTGTGTCCTCTCTTGTCTGCATAGGGTTTGGGGAATCCAAACCTGGCTCAAAGATAGTATTCCAGTCCCCTGCCAGAACTAAATTTTCTACGTCCGGCAACCAGGGAGGTAGTAGCGCAAAGAACTTTGTCCTTTCTTTGTACTCCACAGGGGCATATAGGGACATTATAGCCCAGTCCTCCTTCTCTACTGCCAATTTTACCCAAACTACTCTACCCTTTGGGTCTATAAACTGGTCAATTACTTCAACATCTAAATCCTTATTAACTAGGATGACCACCCCACCCTTTGTCCCTTCAGCAGGGGCCCAAAACTGGGGCCCTTTCCACCAATTCCTCGCAGCTTCGATCTTTTCTGAATTCAATTTAGTTTCTTGTAAACACGCAATATGAATATTCTTTGAATGCATAAAAGCTGCCAGGCTAGCTTTTTTATTTTTATTTGACGTATCGTCCAAACCACGTACATTCCAGGACAATATTCTAATCTTGTTCGGCAAGACCATCTAGATGGCCAATGCCGCCTGTACCTTGGATGCGGTGATCAACGAGAGCCAAACTTTTCTCCTGATTACCTGAGTCAGAGTCCCAATCACAGATAACCGGCCCACTTGGTGGAATCTGAGCTTGGGCATCCATAAGACTTAGCCAAGCCGCCACCTGTTGGGCATCCAAATCTTTCCCCAACTTAATGCCTTTCAAACATTCTGCATCCGCCGCGAAAAGAGGGGTCACCGGCATCCAGTGGGGATGGATTTTGAGCCACTGATCTTTTGTGCCTTCTAGTGAAATCAAGGTCAGAAACGCAAAGTGTAAAAGTCTTCTCTCTCCATCATGCATTTTCACCAAATACCTCCCCAACCTGGGCTCTTTCAGCAGCGTGACCGAACCCATGCCCTTCAAAACTACTGACTGGGTGAGGCTGACCACATGCTCCTCTGTTGGTTGGGCTTGTACCGGTACCACCGGCAATTCCAACGATTCATCAGCTGCCTGGGCGGTAAGAAAACACAGACCCAACTGGGTAGTAGTACAAATCAGTGGGACCAGCGCTTGCCTTATCGTTTTGCGAATTTTGTCATTACGATCCAGAGTCTGCATGGGAGCAGCAAAATACAGGTCCAAACTCTCTTTGCGGTTTTTCTGGTTCCTTTTCCCCGTATTGGTCTACTGCGCAGAGCCATATTTCAACACTTTTTCCGAATCACCGTAGTATTTACGGAAAACACTGGAACCATCATTTAACCGACTTTTCTTAGTTGGAACAGATTTGGAGTCAGCGGATCCATGCCCATTATGGCCCGTTGTCAGTCCCTCCTGTACTTTCGTGGCTGACTTCTTCTTTCTTTTCTCCCTACTCTGGTCCGATTTTCCCACCTTATCCAAGGCTTTGAACAACAGATCGATCTTTCCTTCATCAATTTGGGACTTCTCTTCTTGCAAATCCCCTTCCTCCCTTTCAACGTTTCTATCCACCGCCATGTCCTCTGTGGAACTTTCCTTATTTAAACTGAGCGCATGATTTTGTTCAGTTAATGACAGCGGGATAGACTGGTTTGTTGCAGTGAAGCCCAGGGCCACCGGGTCCAGATTCTCTACAATTTCCATTAGATCCTTACCTTGGTTGTCTCTCTGTCTGCTGCTTTCTTCATCAGCTCCTCCCTTTTCCATCAACTTCTGCATTTCCTTTTCTTTTCCTGACTTCAACCCTTCTGTGACCGACGTACCGCCCTCCACCAAACTCTGTCCCGCCTCTTCACCCTTTGTCTTTTCCATTCCCCCTTCCTCAGCTCCCTTCGGGACGTCTCCCTCCTTCTCCTTCCCCTGAACTTCAACTTTCCCATTCTTCAGGGAGGATGCCGATTCTGAATTCCCCTCCTCCCTATCCTTGGGGCTTTTATCTCTTTTCTCCTTCTTCTTCCACTTCTGACGTCTGGCTTTCGTTGCTTTTAGCTTTATCTTACTCCTCTCAGTGGCCGAAGGACTGGGCTGTGTGGGGGGCTTTTCCACTTCCTTTTCCTTTTCCCCAACTTTCTCCTGAAAATTAGGGTCCTCTTCTTTATCAACTCTCACCTCCTTGTCTTTCCCCTTGTCAACAGACCCCTCTTTCTCCTTCCCTGCGCCCTTCTCCTTCACCACTGCATTCTTATACTTCCTGCTCCGCGAACAATCGTTGTCCGAGTCCGTGTGAAAAAACCTCTTGCACAGACTGCACCATGGCGTGTCCGCGCAAACGACTTCAATTTCCACATAACCATACTCCCCCAAATCGACGACTAGCATCCTTTTGTAATTAAGTCTGGCCGACGGGGTCAGATCAAAACGAATGGTCCAAAGGTCCGGTGAGACTGGGTCAGAGAACGCTGGTGTAACACGCAGGATGGCTCCGAACGCCTTGCTCACTACTCCCCTTAAATGGGGAAGCATAGAGATTGGGACTTGAAGCAATCTAATCCAAAAGAAAGGATAGCTCGTAGCTTCATTCCATTCGAAAAGCTGGTTTTCTGTCATCCACGGCATGAAAGACAGGGAATACTTTTTCTTGTCCAAATTAATTATTTCCTGTCCCTTTCTCAACATCCAGGTCGCAATCTCCTGTGAGCTCGCAATATATGTCACCAGATTGCGACCTTCGTGTTTGAACACCCCCCTCTTTGGAGGAACATTCGGAACCCCAGCTTTGGCCCACCCATCTTCGTAGATTCTGACCAGTTTATTTTTAACCTTAACTGGTACTGTTGTTAGATCATCCCCAAAGCGGATTGAGACCGCATGCTGACGTAACCAACTTGCCTGGATTTCAAAGATTTCTTTGTTGACCACTACGCGTACGTGGTCAGGACCAGACTCTACCGCGTGTGGGACTAGGTCCTCCGGAAGAATCCCTTTTGCATAGCAGTCTTCCAGCATTCCTTTAATTCTTTGCTTTTCTTCCCCATTCAGCGGAGTCCGGCCCGCACTTTCTCCTTCCTTAGTGGCCATCATCAACAGACTATTCAACACTCAAATCAACCACACTAACAACTCAAAAAAACCTAACTCCTATGTCGGACGATAAATAACTGACGCTTGCAAAAACTCAAGCTGGGACAATTCCTAAGGACGACGTCGAGGGAAGGCTTTGTAACGAGGTTACCCAAACCGCCGTCAAACCGTGCAAATGACGAGGCACAGCAGGAGCTCCAAGTCTTCTGATAGGAACCACTTGAAGAAGCCTTACAGCAGCGAATTCTCTCCTCCATAGCACCTAGTATCCCCCAGAAGATACTCTAACATGGCCCTGATGCCTTCCGTGCTGCCCAGGTGTCTTCCGTACTACTCCTGAAGGTCAGCTCCAAAAGCCATCTCCCCACACCATAGCTATGGATATCACGAAACTCTAACCCTAGGTCTAATTTTCTCGCCACGGTGCTAAGCGCCGGGCGGTCAAAATTAGCGCTAGAATTAGCGCTACGAACAGCGCTTCACCGCCGAGGGACCTGTTCGGCAGTAATTTTCTGTTATGGAGGCTAATTAGGCTCCGCCCTGCCGTATAGACGGGGGGACGGGGAGAGAGCCGGAGTGAGACAGTAGCTAAGGTTTGTTTTTGTTGGGATGATCGGTGGGACTTAGACAGATTCTTCCTGTTGTTGTTTTTTGGACTTAGACAGATTCTTCCTGTCGTTTGTTTTGCACCGTAATTGAATCAAGTTACTCAGTAGTATAGTTCTTCTTTGTTGTTTTACAACCTAGTGTTTTTTTTTTTTTTTTTTTTTTTTTTTTTTTTTTTTTTTCAACGTAGTTTTACATACTAGATAGAGGGCCCAGTTGCTGAGTCGAATTACAGGGGAAAGCCTCTGAGAGTCGTGGGGGAGGAAACACCTCTGTGGACATCAGCCCTCTCGCCGTGGGATTTCCCACACAACCAAAGTTGGGTATAAGGTCCCAGTACTGTGACTGTGTCGTCCGGGATGTTTGTGAGGAATTCCCGGCCTCATGGTTTGTAATGGAATTTCTTGCATTTTCCAAAAAAAAAAAAAAAAAGAAAAAAAAAAAAGAAAGAAAGAAATAGGGAGGAGAAAGCTACAAAGGTAGACTAACTTCTATTTTCTTAATTGATTGTTGTTTTTTTCAGAAATTTTAGTTTTCTCAGGTGAGCGTTTTGTTCTCCGGTCCCGCTGGGTCCTGTAAAAAAAGCGAAACTGGGTAAATTTCCCAAAAAAAAAAAAAAAAAAAAAGAAGAAACTGGGTAAAGGGTCGCAGCTCCGGCCTTTATGTGGGGTGGCCGGGCCCATCCTTTTTTCTTGATGAGTAATGAACGAGTACCTTTTGGCAAAAAAAAAAAAGAAAAGTCCTTCGGGACATCCGTTAAAATTGGAACGACACAGAGAAGGGGAAGATTAGCATGGCCCCTCTGCGCAAGGATGACACGCATAAATCGAGAAAAAAAAAACAAAAAAGAAGCAGGAGTGCATCGTCCCGCCGGGAAATGGTGCCGTACGAGTGCATAGTGCCGCAGAGAATGGGCAGATGCATCTGTACTATGAATAGCACAGGACGGAGCTTACGAATCTCTGCGGTGGTGAGGCTACCTATAGGCCCTCAAGCACGGTCATTGCAGCTGTATTTGGGCCACAATTCAGTCCAGATACAGCGATAATGACCACATACGTTGTGCATTTTCTATTCTATGCGGGGATAAAAGCCGGTAGCCGGCCAGGTAATTCAACCTTCTGTTGAATCTGACAGAATCTAGCCCTGTCAGCCAGTAGGGCCGTTGCAGCCTCTTTTTTTTTTTTTTTTTTTTTC